CAGATTTTCTTACATATTTCCCAATAGAAGCTTGGAAAAGTGCTGGAAAATAGAAGCTCAGATAATGTGAGGTAAGGATTTCTATTTAACTTTCTTTGTGCATTGAGTCGTTTTCTCAGAATGCATTTCGTATTGTGTCAAATTCAGTTTCTTTCAACTATGGTACCAGAATATGAATACATCATTAGCTTTTCCCATTTTAACACGGGTTATTGAATGTAGTATGTCTTGTCAGATCCTAAATTTATGCCGTTATTTCATTAATTAACAGTATTTTGCTTAGTGAAATGCTGAGACACGATTGAGTAACAATTTTCTATGTGATTTGAAGCCTAACTCTACCATTTTTCTCTTCGCAACATGCAAGCCATGCTAACTATAGCATCTCGAACTATTATTTATTTATTTATATTTATTTTTTCCTTTTTTATGTCATGACATGGAAACTGCCAAATTTAGAAGATACATGGAATATAATAAGACAAACCATAAAGGCTCATATGGGTCTAAATTATCAAATGCAGTGTGTAAATCTACAATTTAAAATTCATTTAGTGCTGGCCAAAGTGCCAAGCATACTTGAAGCTCATACTTGACTTGATAATGTTTGATGTCGAGCATATAGGTTCTTCCTAAGCCAGTTTGAGCCCCGAGTTTGAATCTAAATTAAAAGCTTTACCAAGGATACGCTTGGATTGAATCAGGCTCGCTTTTGATAACGTTGGTCTGTAATTTATCATTATGGTTGTTACACCTATGCTTATCAGCGTTTTAGCTTGACGTGCATGCCTCAAGGCATACTTGATGGCCAGGCTATAATCAGGACCTCAAAGCGCAAGCTTTGATTCCCATTTTGCAAGGACTAAGCCTTAAGGGCGCTTTCTCACATGATCCAAGGCTGTTGAGTTGTGCATTCCTTAGTTGCTATTTTTTACTTCGAATATGTGGTACTAATTTTCAGTGTGGTGCTAATATTATTAGCATTTCTTCGTTGAATAGACAAATTAGGAACATGAGTAAGGAAATTTCTAGTGGTAGTGTCAGGCAGTTATGTCTATTTGTTGGAAGTTCTGAGCATGGCAGCTCCTGTGCAACGCCAAAAAATCGTTGTGCTAATACGATGATATTGTGAACCACTTAGAAGTCCTGATAGTACCGGTGACTGCTTGAAATATACATGTGCGCAATATGACTTTACAGTCTATACTAATCATCCGTATTGGTAGAAGTCATTGTATCGGAAGTCAATTTTATAGATATAATAGTTGTTTATTAAACTATTAGAGCATCTCATATAGGCTCTTTATTAGCCGTACTCTCTTTATTTTAGGTAGCCAATTCCTTTTTGTAAGAGTCCAACAAAATCTTTGAATTTAAAATTTAAAATAGTGTGGATTTGAGGTTGTAAGTGTAGAGAGCAGCGTTTTAAAAAGCACGCCAAGGGGCTGCGAGGGCGAAATGCCACACCTTGACAGTAAGCATGAAATTGACAGTTGAGCGCTTAATGCATGACTAGGCGCCAAGGCTCGCTTCATTAATTTTTTTTTTTTTCATTTTTTAAAAAAGTCTTTTATCTGACTTTAGTTTATTTATTTATTTCCTCTTTTTTTAAAAGCTTTTTATTTACTTTAGTTTCAAGTTTTTAAATGACTTAAGCTACGGTGCTATTTACATTATGTAATTATGATTTTGAGATTTATCATTTTGTCAGAAACTTTGAAAGTATGTATGAAGTTTCTATAAATCTATTAAGTAGACTAAGTAGGACCTGTCTAGTTGAAAGGTGAAACTATGAAAATTAGTCTAGATTTTGCATTTCGAAAACTTGAAAAATTGTGTAATTGATTAATTATAGGAATTATTAAGTAAATATAATATTTTATAAGTTTAGATATTTGGTATGTATTGTTTTAATTATTAAATGATTTTTGGAATTATTAAAAATTTAAAATAATATGAATAATTAGAAAACACTTTTTTACGCCTAGGTTCGTAAAACTTGAAGCTTGATATCCAAATCTAGTCGCACAAATTACACTTTTTAGAACACTTGTAGAGAGCCAAACCTACTCTTTTTATTTAATAATTTTAGTGCTTTCATTTATTATTTCATAACTTTCTATGCACTTATTTTAAAATAAAGGATGAATGACAATATCAAAAGGGAAGGCAGCCAGGGGCGGACGCAGACTTTCGAAACTAGGGGGCACAATCTAACTTTCACAAAGTGAAGAAAAAATGAAAGCAAGGATTCTTTTGGTGCTTCGTATGACGATCAATCTACTTCTGCTTTATAAAGAGGGTCAGTCAGCCAGGCAATCTGGCTTAAAGCTCAAAAATATTCCTCAAGATATCATTACTATGTAAATTGAAACTTCCTCGCTAATGTTGGGAGAAGGCCTTGTCGTAACTTTACCAAGTCGGCAAACCTATTGAATTAAATGGTCATGAGAATTTTGTTTAATGCCTCATTAGAAGATATTGATTGATTTTGTATTCCATCACGTTTGCCAGTGATAGTTAAAAGGAACAAATAAGCCCAGATTGAGCTCAAAATGAGACCCTGGACCTGGATGTGAACGC